AAGTCACTCTAGCAAAAACTACTTAGTCATGTTTAAAATGGGCCAGATAATTTAAGAAAATCAGCTGATTTTCTTTTCGCTGGAGAATACTACTGAAGGAGTTCTGTCCTAAGGCATGAGACAGAAACTGGCATTAGCAACCTTGATGGCCTTGGTATCTCATGGTATGGAGAGTACAACAATCCGTTGTGCACATCCACACAGTTACTCAGGAATAAAGATGTGTGCCTACAAAGAACCACACATGTTACATTTATTTCCACGCTGTGGGAGAACAAGGTTTATGTACTCGACCTGAATAAAATCTTAGGTTCCAATCAACAATATTAAATAAGCTACTGCTGTATGCAAAAGGAGAGACTACTAGAAAGCCATTTCCAATTAAATATCATTTAGGAAGAGAAATGATTGTTGAATTTATAATTTAATGAAGAAAATACAATTTATTTATAAAACTCTGTATATTTATGGTAAATGCAGTTCCTTAAATTTGTACTCTCTCCAACATACTTTCTCAATCTCCTGAAAGTGAGCCTGGAAATAGAGGAACTTTGAGCTGAGAGCAAATGAATGTCAGTAGAAGAACAATACCTGAGAGCAAATGAATTAAGTTCAAAGGCAGCTGTCAATGCAGGGCTTTAATAGTAAAGAGAAAAATCCCAGCCATGTTATCATACCTTAAAAGAGACATCTGCAGGGCATACTGTCCTCTGTGTAGCTCTTATACTAACGGGAATATTTTTATATAAATTAGCCTTACTTTTTGAAAAGTGAAAGCAGAAGGCTCCCTCAAAATCTGGGATTTTAACATTCAACTAACTTCATAAGGGATTATGCAAATTTGCTTGATGACCACAAATTACAGAGTTGAGCATAAAACTCCTTCAACTTGCTTTTTTTTTTTTTTTTTGAGACAGAGTCTTAAGCTGTCACCCTGGGTAGGGTGCTATGGTGTCACAGCTCATAGCAACCTCCAACTCAGGCTCAAGTGATCCTCTTGCCTCAGTTTTTCTATTCTTAGTTCTTGCTATTAGTTCTCTATTCTTACTTCTTGCTTTTGTTCAGGCTGGTCTTGAACTCGTGAGCTCAAGCAATCGACCTGCCTCCACCTCCCAGAGTGCTATGATTATAGCCACCTCACCCAGCCCTTCCACTTGCTTTTCAAAAACACTGAAGACAAGTTTGCCTTTTTTTTTTCCTTTTTTCGGACACAGAGTCTCATTCTGTTGCCCAGGCTAGAGTGCCATGGCATCAGCCTAGCTCACTGCAACCCAAACTCCTGGGCTCAAGTGATCTTACTGCCTCAGCCTCCCAAGTAGCTGGCTAATTTTTCTATTATTAGTAGAGACCCAGTTTCCCTCTTGCTCAGGCTGATCTTAAACTCCTGAACTCAAGGGATCCTCCCACACCAGCCTCCCAGAGTGCTGAGATTACAGGTGTGAGCCATGGCAGCCAGCCTACAAATTTACCTTTTACAGGTATAATTTTTCATCAATCTTTTCAACTTTCAAGCTAATAAGTAATATCAAATGAATGATCACACAACTAAAGTGATCTGTAGAGGCCTGATAAAAGATGTAACTCATAGTTACGTATTTTATTCTTTTTTTTTTTTAGAAACAGTCTCACTTTGTTGCCCTCGGTAGAGTGCTGTGGCATCACAGCTCACAGCAACCTCCACCTCTTGGGTTTAGGTGATTCTCTTGCCTCGGCCTCCAGAGAAGCTGGGACCACAGGCACTCGCCACAATGCCCAGTTATTTTTTTGTTGTTGTTGCAGTTTGGCCAGAGCCAGGTTTGAACCCGTCACTCTCGGTACATATGGGGTCGGTGCCCTACACACTGAGCTACAGGCGCCGCCCCATAGTTAACACATTTTAATTGAATAGTCTCATCCAAATTTAACCCAAAATTCAATTGGGCAAGTATCTTAGTTTAAAAGAGAGAGAAAAGACTGG